ATGATGTCATCTGAGGCTCCTGAAGGCTGAATCATATGAAAATATTAATATGTAAAAATGTATACAAATATTGTAAAGTAATCATTATTGCTTGTTCTGAAATGTGCACAGTTCACAGTTTTTTTATGGCTTTAATCCATTTTTGTTTAATTTCATTGTACTTTTTTATAGTTTCTTGTCCAGTTTTTTGTTTTATTAGATTAGTTTTTATTATTTGTTTGTTTTATTTGTTTACTGTTTAAGTCCATTTGCACTTGCATTATTGTTCTTTGTTTTATTGTTTAGTCAGTTTATTTGTAAAGTGTTTTTCACAATGCATATGGTTTTATTTGATTTGCACTGTGTTTTGGTATTACAGATTTAAATTCAATACATAAAAATAGACAACAACCTTTTTTAATTTCGAAAGATGTCAAATGTGTCATTATTCCTGTCAGAAACAAATTTTTGTAAATTGTTTTTAATAATAAAAAACGCAACAGTTTAAATTGAATTTGTTCTGTTGAATTTATATGATAATGTCTGCAATCAATAGTCACGAATTAAAAACGCAGAGCTCCGATTACAAGCTATGTAACACTGAATCATTTGCATGCAACATCTGATGGTTTCTCGTCTCATTTCGTCAGTCAGAATCACTGCAGTATGATGCATTTGATCAACTTTATTCAACGAAAGACAGAAAATCAAATGACGCTTCCTCTCGACTTATAATGAAAATATCCGTGTAGGTTAAAACATGAAGTAAATATTACTATTATGTTTATTAAGTTCAAAGTAATAAGATGATGATTTTACCTGACGGGAGTTTTGAGTCGCGCGCAGCTGCTGAGAGTCTCGAGCTGTCAGTGAGAACACGAGCGCCGTCACTCATCCTCATCCTCATCCTCATCCTCATCATCATCACTGCCTCTCAGTCACACATCCACTCCTGCTCATCGTTTTTAAATATTATATGCTGCTCTTTATTTTCTTACTTCTTTTTGTCAAATTTGTTGGTTGCAAAGTTCATGAACTTTTGATTGGATTTTATATTGTACTTCTGCTGTTATTTTGTTTTATTTGTTCATATCAATTTTAATTTTCACTGTCGCTACTTTTTATTTACTTATTAATTAAATTATTATTAATTCTTTTTTTTTTTTTTTACTTAACGCATTTCATACTATTTTCAAGTGAATGAGAAATCAAATCACACGTGATATAGGCAGTAACCTAATTGTTGAAGACATAGATGGATGTAGTTTGATGTACTCAAGTGCTGTAATGTGTGTTCTGTTCCAGTAACTCCATCAACATGCAGAATGAAGTTTGTGCTGCTTTCTCTCTTCAGCATCCACAGATGATCTTCTAGAAATCTGTCCATCTCAAGGAGGAGGAGGGATGTTAAAGGTCACACCACACGCCATCTGACACACGGTAGGAGTCCGACCTCAGCTGATACACACACACACACACACACACTCTCTCTCTCTCTCTCTCTCACACACACACACTCTCTCACACACTCACACACACAAACATACACATACACACTAAGGTATCTAATTAGACTCCTATTGTTTTTATATACAACTAGTTACAAATACGCACCCTAACAGTAAACGTTTTTGCATTTTAAAATAATGAACAAAAAAACTTTTCTATGAGTGAGGACATCCCCAAAGTGAGGTCTTGTCCGGTTTATCAGTCTTCTAGGTACAAATATGTCTCCAAAATATGATTATGAAAAATGTCAATATAACACTTGATGGAAAAACCATGTGTAAGTAAACACAGGTGACACTGCAGAAGTGTGAAACGCCTCTAAACGCTCCTGCAGTCCTCAGTGTGTGACTGCTCTCTCCCGCTGTGACCTGCGTCTCCTGCGATGATCAGGAAAGGTCACGGTGAAGGCTAATCCTCGTCTCCAGGGAGCGACACGGCTAATCACTACTGTTTCACAACGCCGTGACCTTTAACACCACACTGACCCCGAGACGCCTGCAGAGACTCCGGCTTCAGCACTCACCGGAAAACAACGCATTCACAACCATCATTCTGACTCGAATTCAGCCTCATTCAACACTAAACATCCTTTCTGATGTCCTGACTCACTCTAAAAACACGGAGGCCTTCACACACACCAGCATGAGAAACAACCAACAATCAGGAGCGTTTCGCAAGATTTGTCCGTAATAGTAAAGGGGAACCGCATTTTCTCTCAGAGTCTATTATATAATGAAATGTTTTTGTGATTTGGATCCTTCTCTTCATATTCCACAGACAGAAGAATTAAGAGTCGCTCTCATCTGAAATGTCTCAACATTTAAAAACAGACATTACTACTGATAAACGCATGTGATTTCAGTTGTTTTATTTGATTTCCACACCTCTGTCTTATTTTCAGAGGAAAATGTCTCCAAAATGACAAGAGTCCCGTACAACGAACAGAAACTGTTAATGTCACCCAACAAACAGAAGTAAAAACAGAAGACAGTCAAATTCACTGCTTAAAAAACAAAACACACAAACTGTGTAAAAATGATTTTAAAAACAGCCACAGTCACGTGACAAACATTCACTCAAGCTCCGCCTCCTTCGTCCCATTGCCGGCGGAGGTATCATGGCTCTCTGCACTCCCATCCGCTTTCTCTCCATCCCCGTGTTCCTGCGTCTGATTGGCTGCTTCCTGCGGGCCTGTGCTCTGATTGGCTGGCTCCTTGGCCACTTCCTGCAGGTTGTACTTGCGGTAGAGCGTGTAGTCCTTGAGGACGCTGACGCAGCAGACTGTCTTGATGATCTCGATGATGATGGAGAGCTCAGGGTTGGTCAGATCCACCTTATTCAGCGGATTCAGCTTCCCCACCAGACCTGAAACCCAGCAGAGGAACAGACAGAGATGAATGGCGTGTTTGAGGCAGCGTGTGATGTGTGTGTGAGTGCTGCTGTACCAGCCACGGCTTTGATGACCTCCTCTCTCTTGCTGTGGCTGCTGTTTCGGGCTTTGAAGCAGATCTGGTAGGTGGCACGCAGCGGCGCTCTGAACCAGCGCTCCAGAAACACACTCAGAAACTTCTCCATGTCCTCGGGAAACGCTTTACACGTGCCGCTGACCGGCAGCATGCGCAGGATCACACGGGACTTCCTCTTCTTCGTCTGATAGAGGTCTGACAGAATGTGATGGACCAGCTGCTCTGGGTCTGAGAGAGAGAGAGAGAGAGTTGTGATCTGAATCTGAGGTTCAGATGGAGCTCACCTCACGTGATGATCTGATCAGACTCTCACCGACTCCATGAGTGCGAATGAACACCACGTTATGAGCTCCGCTGTCCACCGCACTGAACCTCTGCTGATGCGTCTTCATAGACGACTGTATCTGAGACACTTCCTTCTTCAGAGCAGCTTCGGCGTCTTCATCATCCTCCTCATCCTCACTGAGACTGTCCTGTGTGTCGGCGGGATGTAACACACAGTACAGTAACACATCTCCATAATACACTAGTGTAACACATCTCTATAGTGCACTACACTAGTGTAACACATCTCTATAGTGCACTACACTAGTGTAACACATCTCTATAGTGCACTACACTAGTAAGTGATAGTTCAGTGATAGTATAGTGATAGTACAGAGACAGCAGAGACAGTGTTCAGCATCACCTGCTCGGGGCCGTAGAGCGCGTCCGCGTACTCGCTGAGCAGACTGAAGGCTTCGCTCGTGCACTTGCGCTCGTTCATGTTGCAGGTGACGAGCACCCCCTGCGCGCCCACCTGCAGCTCGCGCGCGCCCCTCTGTTTCTTGTGCGCGTGTCCTCCGAAGCGCTTCCTGCTCCTCTTGAGCGTCTCGGACATGACTGCACTTTATCACACTCTCTCTGCTGCTGCTGCTGAATGAAGAGATGCAGAAACTCCGCGATATCAACGCGCTGCTGGCACGCGTGTGTTTGTGTCTGTCGCGCTTCAAGCTCTCCGCAGCGCGCGTCATACAGGGCCTCGAGTGGGACATGTGATTACGAAACGCGTTTGACGGTGCTGCAAAAAAGAAGTTACAAAACCATAAATATCACATGTTTTCTTTTTAAAAGTTATGAAAATATAGAGAATGAAATGTGTATTTATATAAAAACACTTAAAGCCTTTGTGCATAATGTATTATAAAAGTACTCATAATTGTTTGTTGTAATAAATTGTATCATTTCATAAATTATGTGAAGTTAAAATGCATTATAAAATTTATTTGCAGATTCCTTATTACATATGAAACTGGTTATCATGTGTTTTGATGCAAAGTTGTAACACTGAATAGTTAAGTATTGTAACTGTGGATACAATTAAATAATACAATGCATTATAAGGTCCATTACAAAGTACAGTGCACAGCATAAATGACACCCCCTCTAAAACTTAACACATTCAGCAATTACTCTTTACTTAGAAGACATGTTAGGGTTCTTTGGAGATGTAATGTTCCAAAAAGCCTGCTTGATCAATTACCAAAGAAGAATGCCAAAATTATTCAGCAAAATAAGATTTTCTTATCAAAGTAATACAATTTTGTGTTGCAAAAATGAGTACACCCTCCTGAAGCATTTTGTTGTTTTTATTAAGTATATGTTTAATATGTTTCAATTTTGCCATCTTTCCATGAACTATATTAGTGATCATTAAGAAAATACATCTTTTATATTTATTCAGAGGGGGTGTACTCATTTATGCTGTGCACTGTATAATATGTTATAATGCATTATATATACAGGCTTCAAGTGAAGTGTTAAAAACCCATTCTATAATTCTGTAATCTATTGTGAGGAACATGTTACTCATGTAAAACATACTAGAACGAGCATAGAAGTCTCCACAACGTGTAAATGCTTTCATGTCCCTGACAGAACTAATTAAATTTTTTTTTTTTTTTTGTATGTTTGATCTGCTCTCCCGGTTGCCTAAGACAAATTTCTCCTAAGGGAGACAATAAAAGAGAAACTTAAACTTAAACTTAAATGTGTCTTCAAAAGTGATTTATTATAAATATTATTTTACAGGTTTGTTAAAATCACAAAGACACAATTCATGAGATCATAATCATGATGCTATAATGCAGAATAAAGAGACGTATCTGATAACTAAACACATATCATCTGAAGTCTGAATATGGACATGCATGCTTGCTGTCATGTCTTTAATGAGCAGTGTGCTCTTCTGAGATCATATCAGGTGTTGATTCTCTCACAAAAACAGAAGAATGGATGTAGAAATGTTAAGCTTAAGCTTGCAGATGTCCCTGACACAATTTCTAAAAATACTTTTAAAAAGTGTTTTCTTTATAATAAATGAATTCTTCAACAGGTTTGTTCAAATCTAAAGACACGATGCAGCCCGTGTTCACCGGAGGGGTCTAGAGCTGCAGGTCTGTGGTGTTCTGATGCGGTTCTGTTTGCTGGACTGCAGTAATCCAGACTCCCACTTGAAGAAGCCGCAGCTCTGTCGTCTGACGGGGCAGCTGTAGAACCCACGGCCGTGGTTCGGCCCGCCGTTCCCCACCGTCAGACGCCTGGCCCTCCGGCCGCAGCCGCACAGAGGAGACGTGATCTTAGACGCGAGGCTCACAGTGCGGGGCGGGTCTGTATAAACACTGAACGACGCGCCGCTGCGTCCTAAGAAGCGCGAGAGCGGCCTGTACGGGTCTGTGCGCCGGAGCGGTGTGCAGGCAGAGCTGGACGCTGGTCTGGCAGGTTTGTAGTGGTCTGACCAGGTTTTGTTGGGTCCTGCGGGATCAGGCTCCTCAGGCTCCGCCCCCACGAGCACATCATCACAGGAGCCAGGCTCCTCCCCCTCGGTCAGCAGGACTCCGTCTCGCCAGCAGGCGTCTGGAGTCTCGGGGTCGTAGGTCATGTCCGAGAGCCCGGCCAGTGTGCTGAGATTCCCGAGCGGTCTGGACGCGCCGGCACACAGCGGAGTGTTTGTGCTACAGAGGACGGTGCGCGGCGACACGAGCGATCGACACACACTCGTCTGCTGCTCGTTACGCTCGGGTCGCTCACTCAGCGCTGAGGGACGCTCACCAGAGACGCTTCCACGCGGAGGTCTGGACTTCACCAGCGCCTGAGAGACAGAGACACATGCTGGTTTAGCACAGCTCAGCGCCAGCTCCTGATTGGCTGTGGCGTCAGGCAGGGGGTGGAGTCACCTGTGACAGAACTCACCCTCCTCAGAGACTTGGTCACAGTCAGCAGACAGCCGTCAGACACCATCCTCCACGCCAGCAGAGCCGTGTTCCTCGCGTCCACCAGACCTGAGCAAATCACCACAGGAGGAAACATGCTTCAATACATCATGATTACAGCTTATAACAGACACAATTATGTGATTCTAAATAAAGCAATAAGCCGTGGTTTACAGTGAATTTATAACAGCTAAGGGACGTTGTTAGGTACGACGCAAAGCGGAGTTATAAAACCCTCTTAATGAGTGTGTGTGTGTAGTGTACCTGAGTGCTCTCTTCCTGTGAACTGGATGCCGAGGTCCAGCAGAGCTCCTCTCAGACCTTTGGGCTTCCGGTTATAGAAGAGCTGACAAACAACCAATAGAGTCAAACACTAAATGCCTGAAACCATGAACCGAACCGGGATGATTTCTCCCATTCATCAGGGTCTGTGTGTGTGTGTTTGTACCCTGTAAGTGACTCGCAGGTCGATCCAGCTCTTCAGAGCTTCAGGAACACTCAGCTGCTTCCATTTGCACTCGTACAGCAGACAGACTCCCAGATCCCAGTCTGCATCAACACACACACACACACACACACATTACAAATGAACATAAAGAAGATAAAGCGCAGGCAGAGAGGCAAGCATTCTCTCACCTGACCATGTGACAAACGCACAGGGGTGTCCGGAGGGGGCGGGGCCTGTGCTGTCCGTCTCAAAGACCACGCCCCTCTCCTGCTGGAGACTGTTCAGCCAGCGAGTGAATCTGGACAGACAGATGTGGAGGGGAGGGGCGGAGTCCACCTGATCCTGTCGGCCAATCATACGCAGGGTGACAGATACATGACTGAACTAAACATCAATAATCACCAGAGGTGTCTATAAGAGCTCAGGATAACCTGTGTGATGCCGGTGAGCTCCGTGCAGAAGGCTGACAGTACAGGGTGTTCCTGTGGCTGGACGTACGAGTGGAACTCTGACTCCACTTCTCCGTTCGACACGTTCAGCAGGACGGCCGGAAACTCAACTGATGAGGGAGCAAAACACATGTGAAGCCAAGCGATGAGACATGAAACACAAACTCGAGAGGCGTCAGGACTCTTACTGATCTCCTGGCCGCAGCTGCTCTTCTCTCTCCAGCAGGTGGACTCAAAGTCAATGATGATCAGGAAAGAGAAGCGCTGCTCTGAGAAACACCAACACCAGCAGCAGAGTCAGTGACGATCCACACATGAACACACTGACCAGAGACTCTTACTGCAGACCGAGACACTCACACACACACTCTCACAAACACACACACAGACCAGAGACTCTTACTGCAGACCGACAGACACACACACACACATACACAGCAGAGACTCTTACTGCAGACCGACACACACACACACCAGAGACTCTTCCTGCAGACCGAGACACTCACACACACACACACTCACTTAATCTTACTGCAGCCCGACAGACACACACACACACATACACAGCAGAGACTCTTACTGCAGACCGACACACACACACACCAGAGACTCTTCCTGCAGACCGAGACACTCACACACACACACACTCACTTAATCTTACTGCAGCCCGACAGACACACACACACACATACACAGCAGAGACTCTTACTGCAGACCGACACACACACACACCAGAGACTCTTCCTGCAGACCGAGACACTCACACACACACACACTCACTTAATCTTACTGCAGCCCGACAGACACACACACACACATACACAGCAGAGACTCTTACTGCAGACCGACACACACACACACCAGAGACTCTTCCTGCAGACCGAGACACTCACACACACACACACTCACTTAATCTTACTGCAGCCCGACAGACACACACACACACATACACAGCAGAGACTCTTACTGCAGACCGACACACACACACACCAGAGACTCTTCCTGCAGACCGAGACACTCACACACACACACACTCACTTAATCTTACTGCAGCCCGACAGACACACACACACACATACACAGCAGAGACTCTTACTGCAGACCGACACACACACACACCAGAGACTCTTCCTGCAGACCGAGACACTCACACACACACACACTCACTTAATCTTACTGCAGCCCGACAGACACACACACACACATACACAGCAGAGACTCTTACTGCAGACCGACACACACACACACCAGAGACTCTTCCTGCAGACCGAGACACTCACACACACACACACTCACTTAATCTTACTGCAGCCCGACAGACACACACACACACATACACAGCAGAGACTCTTACTGCAGACCGACACACACACACACCAGAGACTCTTCCTGCAGACCGAGACACTCACACACACACACACTCACTTAATCTTACTGCAGCCCGACAGACACACACACACACATACACAGCAGAGACTCTTACTGCAGACCGACACACACACACACACACACACACCAGAGACTCTTACTGCAGACAGACGGACGCTGATGAGCTCCAGATGAATGACTGCGCTTCCTGATCAGACCCAGCTCTCTGACACACAGCACACATCTCATCACATATGAGATACATGACATATTAGCATTATATATGAGACAGAGAAGTGTAAATATACTGCAATTAACAAATATTTAAATACAATATCAGGGCATAGTGTTGTCGATATACATTTTATATTTAGTCTCAGTAAATCGTGAAATATTAGCATTATATATGAGACAGAGAAGTGTAAATATACTGCAATTAACAAATATTTAAATACAATATCAGGGCATAGTGTTGATATACATTTTATATTTAGTAGTAAATCGTGTTTTATTTAATTAAATAACGTTTATCTAACACTAATCTGTTTGATCTGAGTGTCTAGTGTTTGTGTCAGATGAGATGTTGTTGTTGTTTCTTACTTCGCCAGACTCTTTGTTGACATGCTGCTGCTGCTTCACACTCGAGTTGCACACACAAACATCTGCTGAAGGACTCGCCAAACATCCAAATGATGATTACATTTATAAACACAGCATGAAACACTCTCGCAGCTTTAAACTCCCCGCGCAGCGAGACCGTTTCCGTTGTTAAGCTACGCTTCCGGTCGCGCGCCTGCGCTGTGTGACGTGTCTCTCAGCGCAGCCTGTGATTGGTCGAGCGGCAGTAATCGCACGCAGAGTTGCAGATCGGATTAGTGGATACTAATCGATCTCAGAGCTGTAGATCAGCGAGCACACGTGACGCTTTCGCTCGTGTTTTTACGCGATTATTTCGCTGTATTTACACTAGACTGACGTCATGACGGCCGAGATGAAATGCGCTGCGCTTTAGTTATTCATGGATATGATTATATGTAAATCAGACTGAGTTTTCAAGCAGGATGAACTGAAGAACAGCACATCAGTGAATGAATAGCTGAGATGAAGAGTGAAACGCCATCAGCTGAGGGACAGATGGACTCATCTTCATCCTCCGGTAAGAGGAAGGCAGCGGACAGTCTGATCTCAGACTCATGTGAGAAGAGAGAAAGACTGGAGCTCATCTCAGAGGCGACTGCATTCACATTCACTCAGTCATTGTGCTGGACTTGATGAAGTCAGTGTTGATTCTGGATCATTCATTGAGTGTTTGTTGTGTGTTTCTCTGGATCAGGATGTGCTGACAGTGATCTGATCCACTACAACACACACACACACACTCACTCACTCACTCACTCACTCACTCACTCTCTCTCTCACACACACACACACACTCACTCTCTCTCTCACACACACACTCACACTCACTCAGAGTTTGTGTATTCACATAAAACTGAGCAACCAATAAACACCCGAGTGTCTGAGGACTTCCTGCTTTGACTCCGCCCAGCTGATCTGATTGGCTGACGTGATTGACACGCCCATTTATACATGTGAACAGCTTTGTAATGTGTTCAAATACTGTTCAGAATAAACATGACTGAAACATGCAGATGTGAGGATCTTTTCTTCTGCTGAACACATCACAGAGACCCGAGCATCACCAGAGTCCGGCAGATATTCAACACTCCTCACTTACAAATGAGATGACTGAGCTGTTTGTTCATGAATATCAGAGAATCAGGAAACTGTTTTAGTGGTTTAAGTCGAGATAATCCACACCTGATGTGCATTAAAACATTGAGTGCACACCTAGCTGTGGAGTATCCGGCTTATATCATGGAGACTTAACAACATTGACAAGCTAAAGCTATTATTGATGTTTAGAGCGCAATGTTTGACTGAAAAGGTCAAACTGCGGCTCATTTTATATATATATAAGTGTGTGTGTGTGTGCTAAAAGTGAAATAAAAGGGATGGTATACATTACAGAAGATCAAAAAATAACACTGACCGTAATTTTGAAAAATACCGTGATATAAATTTTTGGTCATACCGCCCAGCACTACTATACATCCTTTACAAACAGAAACATTGGTCTCCTTATTAAGCTTCACTTCGTCATTAACTGACATCCAAAGTTAAGTTCCTATCTACTTGTTTTATTATTTCATTGTGTTTCTGTTGAACGTCCGTGTTCTGGTGAAGACAAACCCCTTCTGAGAAGCTATAAAACAGACGAGTTCTTTCATTCAGCTGCTGATCAGAGATGGGTCTGCTTCTGTTCGTTCTGCTCGCCGCGGCGGCTACACAGATCTGCAGGGCTTGTAATGCTACCGAGCACAGATTCGGATCAGCACAGGACTCGCACTGGTGTTATGAGTGCAAGGGTTTGGGGAATCACTGCGAGGAGAGATCAGTGATTTGTCCCATTGGATTTTCCAAATGCATGAGTACAACAACCGTAGTGCAAGTCGGTAAGTCCAATACGATGTTATATTATATCTGACTGATGGAGATGCTGCTATAATTTACTGGAGCTGAAACAGCGATATATGTGTATATATATATATATATATATACACTCTTTCTAATGTGACGTATTCATAAATTCTGCTGTGATATCTTTGTTTTATGAAATAAAATGTTTTATGTACAGAATCATTTTATGAAATAAAATCCATCACCTCATTCCTGGAATCAAATTTAATAAAGCCTGGCATGCTGTCAAAATGTCCAAAACACACACTGCAGTAATAAAGACAAAAATCATGTTTATGATCAGAAGAGACATGCATGAAAATCATTTAATTATACAAAACAGGAAAAATCGTGTCCGTTTGGTTTTTCATGAGTTTGTGACCACAGATGACCAAATCAAACAGAGAAATAATGAGCAGTAATATTTCAAAAATGCTTTTGTCTATTTTATCCAATCTTTTATGTGTAAATAGCATAAGAGGTACAAAGCCTAACTGTAATAAATCACGTGATGAGATTTCAATTCGATTCTTAAATTTAATTGATTGGATTCAATATCCATTAATCGTGAAGAATTTAGGTAAACATCAGTTTTTCTAAAGGTTAAAACTCTCTCAACTTATCCTGCAAACTACAACCCTTTCAATTTGTTACATTAAAATAATATTAAAAGTTAAAATTAAAAAGAGCCCAAACTATCAACCTCCAGCGCCATTTATTTTCAGATAAAATTACAAATTATATTAAATTGCACATAAGGCCGATTTAAAGAACACGCGTCTAAACTGAGACAGAAAATATTGTACAAAATACTGTACGTAATTAATTTAGAGTCACTTTGACCCAGAAACAAATTGAGTTAATGAGAAACAAAAAAAGTCTCAGCTTTCTAATTCGTTGTTTAAATGGAATCATTTTGTAAATATAACAATTTAAATAGTAGCTGCCAACAAGGCCTATATCATAAAAAAAATAAGACATCATGAATTAACAAGTTAAGATAAATGAAAGCTTACTGTATATTTAGCATTATGCTCAACTTTCGCTTTGAATGCGGGTCCTGAGGCAAAACTGCTAAACTGTTTTGATTGACGTGTTTGCGCGAGAGATTATAAACTGTATTTGATATTTCAACATACCTTCTGAGGTCGATCCATATTAATTTCGCTTGGTAACGTCAGAGGGACAGATGATCGGTTCATTCGCGCCCAGCGCGGCCGTTAAACCGCGCGAGCGATCTTTTAACGACCTTTATTTGAATTTGTTGAGCGCCAACTGGATTTCCGTTGAATCTTCGCGCAAAGTAAATAACAGGGTGACATCTACAGGAGAATTTAATAGGATTCTCAGGAAAAATGAAAATAAATCTAAAGCAATTTTATAAAAAAAAAACAAAAAAAAGATTAGTCAAACAGTCTGAAATGATTTACAATTTTTCTAATTTAATCAGCAGTCGTTTAAACAGCACTGTTGAGGAATGTGGCTCAAATGTAAGAAATGTAGTGGTTGAAAATGCCTCAGACTGCGGGAAAGGTTTTGATCATATCGCTCACCTCCACGCTGGGCGTCAGGAGATAAGTGCAGTCTTCTGATTGGCTGTCGATTACACCCAGACTGAGCGAGGCTTCCGATTGGCTCCAGAGCCTTCGCTACCAAACCTGAGGAACGTCGAAGAGCGCCGGTGGCGTAGTTTCAGAAGCTGTGCGACAGAAAACAATCAAACAGTCAAGTTCAGCAGACGAGAGTTACGCGCCGTACGTCAATGTAAACACTTACCGTCTGACTTCCTCTTCTTGTGTCCCCGGCTCTTTTTACCTTGACTCTGATTGGCTGAGGACTCCTCAGGCTCCGCCTCCTCCTGCACTGGACTCACAGAGGCTCCGCCTTCATCAGGCCTGAACAAACAGCAGCCAATCAGACGGCATCATGACATCACGTGAGTGAGTTAAAGGGGCGGGGCACTTACTGCAGTCTGGGCCAATCACAGGTGCCAGTCACATCGGCGTACGTCTGCAAGCAGCTTCCTGTGACACGAACGAAATTAAACATCACATGTTAACGAAATAAACGGGTTTGAAAAGACAGCAAGAATAATTACAGTTACCATAAAGTTTTATTAAACACTCAATTCATTAGTGTGGACTCTAATATAATTACTCTTATTGTGGGTTGGTTTGAACGTAATATAAATGTTGTTATAGTTATCATTCATCAGTGTGGACTCTAATATAATTATGTCTGTAGTTGCTGGTATGGTTATAGTCTGTTGAAGTGGAGGCTGTTACAGTTATCACTGTAGTTTGTCAGAGTGAAAGCAGACACACTGACCGTCGGTCTTGATCTTCTTGACGCTGCTGTAGTTCGTCCAGCTGCTGTCAGCGTCGTGATTCTGCTCCTCCGGAGACGGACTGATGCTCCTCTTGACCGCCTGCAGTCTGAACACACACACACACACTCGTACGGTCACATGACTAACTCGTGCCGCGTGTCTGAGGGACTCGGACTCACCGGCTGTGGGCGTGGCTGAAGCCAGAGGCGGTCGTCATGGCGGCGGCGCTGTAGGAAGTGTCCGCCCAGCCGTCGTCAGGCCTCCTCCTGCTGGTGTGTGTGCTCTTCTGTCTGGACTGCAGGTACTCAGCGTAGGTCTGGATGCGGTAGCTCTCGGCGTAGCGGCTGGTGTTCATGGCTGCACACACACGGCAGACGTTAGCAGACCATCGGCCCACACTGAAGCAGAGGAGCTGAATCTTACCTATCTGAACCTGCTCCGTCTGACTGAGACACACGAACGCTGACGTGTCATCGATCCACGACACCTGGATGTTCCCTGAGACACGGCAAACACAGATCAGCGCACACACACCCACCAGACACTGACAGACGAGCGTGTGTGTGTGTGAGAGAGAGAGTGTGTTACCGAAGGCGCTGAAGAGCTGGTACAGGTCGCTGGTCTTCCACTCTTTAGGGAACGTGACGTACAGGACATGATCTCTCTTGGGCTGCACTGAAAACACACACACACACACACACACAACGTTTGATAACGGACACTGTGAAAATGCATGAATGAGATGTGTCTTACGGTCAGGTCCACTCATGTTCAGGTAGGGAATGTCAATCACCCTCATCAGGAATAATCTAGAAAACACATGAACTCATATGAGACACAGATTCAGACAGGTGTGTGTGTGAGTGAGTGAGTGAGTGAGTGTGTGAGTGGGAGTGTGTTTG